CCTAGTAGAGATTAAAAGAGTAATAACATCCCAAAGAGTGGAAGTGAAACAGAAAGTCAAGATGGTAAAGCGAAAGGAGCCCAGGATTTGTGATTAGGTGATATTTATTTAAATTCTAGTTCTGTCTTTATTGATGAGAATAGACTATGGTTATGTTGAGATAACAACTCCCAAATCTCAGTGGTTTAAAAAAGAAGTTCTCCCATCCCACCCCCCTCCCTCGCTCCTTTCACATTACAAGAGAATCACTAATTAACCACAAGTTTGTTTCATCTTAGTTGTTTAGACTTGGGATATTTAAGTTGTCACTACCTTGATCAGATCCGTTTGCCATGCTGGAGGCAAAAGAGAGTTCAGGGAGATTTTACAGTGATAATGTTCAGCCCAGATGCATTGCATGGCAGTGCTCACAACTCATTGGCCAGAACTAGACACCAAGTCTCATCCAACCACAAAGCGTCACACACAAAGCGACCAATTAATAAAATTCTTATTAATATGTGAACAGAATGAGGGAAGATTAGGAAATGTATGACCTATTGGTCAAATTACTACCAAAAGTATTCATCGGGTAATGTATGTATTAAATCCTGAATCCTGCTTCCTAATTTGCTCAGTATGTGAAATTAAATGATTACTAAACATTTGTGAACCCCAATTTCCTCATCTATAAAACAGTAATAAAACTACTTACCACATAGGAATACTCAAAATTAAATGACCAAATGTATAGAATAAACCTAACAGAGAAGTTAACATATACTAAATGCCTAAGAAGATTAAGTTCTGTAAAGACCTCTCTGCAAACACCAATACTGCTGATGGTTCAAAATTTGGGAGACTTCAGAAAGTTCATTATTCATGCACATGACAATGAGACCAGCAGTTAAGCATCCCACTGAGTCTTCATGGAGAAGTTGGCCCTAAACCAGAACTACAGCAACATTTAGCAGAAGACATTCATGTCAGTCTGGCTAAGAAATGGACATGGGAACACTGGTTGTGCGTATGGAGGGGCAGAGAGAACAATCTGAAAGAGCATTAGATGTTTTTTCTCAAGGTCAGTGTAATGCTGCTTTACCTTCATCATCCTCTTTATTTTTTTTGTGGTTCTTTTTCCCCATCTCAGTGATTCTGTCTGTTCCCTCTCTTGTCCTTGGGAAAGTTACTTCTCTGAGTTTTAATGATATCATTTGGATAAACAGAAATAACATTCCCTGTATCCCAAGACTATTTTAAGTTTCAACAATTAGTTTCAACATGAAAGTACCTAACACAACGTAAGTATGCACTGTTTACTTTAAAATAATAATAAATAAGATAACCATTTTGAGGAGTTGAATTTAGTGACTCTATTTTACAATTCTAGAGTGCTAATGAATTCCTGCATTTGATATTTCATAAATGCTTGTTGGAGAAACACATTGTATGAAATACATGGTTAGCGCTCTCAGACATATACTGTAGACTATAATTAAGATTTATATAATCAGAATGATGAATTTATGCTACTTGTGTTTATCTTGAAACACAAATATATTTTCAATCACACTTATGTGTATTTGTAAAACTGATAAATATGCACATGTATTTATATTTAGATCTACAATATGTCCATGTAATCTCAGAAGTCTCACATTTCCCTTTTTGGTCCCAAGAAGGGATTCATTACACAGTTGGTACACAAATATTTGGTAAATATGAGGTCTATACATATTATTTGTTTAGACTCAATGTACTAAAAGTGCTCTGGGGAAAATATGGAAAATGGCTAATCAGAACTGGAGATTGATTTTATTGATTATCCATGTTTTAGTTTTCTAGTCAATAACTAATACTTAATATTAGTGAAACATAATCCAAATAGAAAACCTCTTATGCATTACCTCAGTCTTACAGACATGTAGAATTTATATTTTTTGCAATTTAAATAAAACTATGTAGGTGAAAAAAAATTGGAGGAAATTGTGTAACAATATTAAAATAATTTATATACAGTTTTAAAGCACTGTTTTGTTGATTTTACTCTGATTAAATGATAAAAAAATAAAATTATACCTAATTAATTTACTAATTATAATTAATGAAATAATTATAATGAACTAAATAATTATGTAGAATTCACTCATAATACAAATACATGTATCATCCTAATTTGTCTTATTCTAGTCAGCAGATGGATTCATTCATTTCTTAGCTATTTGTTGAGTGTTTAACACCTGCCAAACACTGTTCTAGGTGCAGTAGTACAGCAAGATGTAGAGTAGTTTACAACCTAATGGAACAAAACATTAAAAAAAAATAAATCAATGAAATATTTATCTTGAGGAAGAGTGATGAGTTCTTTGGATGAAATAAGATATAAAAAGTTGGAGATAGGGAATGGTGATGGTTATTCCATTTTCAATTACGGTTTTGGAAAGCCTCAACAATCAAGTGGCATATATGCCTAATTGCAATGAGAGTCAGTGGAAAAAAGGATGACCAGGTATTTCTAAATAATGAATGACACAGACAAAATAAAAGGCTCTAAGGGGAAGGAAACGTAGTTCCCAGTGATCAGGTGGGAATTGGGTGTGAGTGGAAACTATCTGGTGGTTCTTACAGGGGCTTGCACAACTCAGGATGCCTCTCTGTTCCTGTCAAATACACACTTCCACATGGTCACACACACACACACACACACACACACACACACACACACACACACACTCACTCACAAAATGCCTTTTGTAGCTTAATTTCACTTCTCTCCCAAGTTGTTTCAAAAGTAAGTACCACCATGACGTTCTCTGTCTCTCTGTTTTAAATACCAGCAATCAAGTATTATTTCTAGTTAAAGACTCTCAGAGATTCAATTAAATAGTATCTACTGTGTTCATGGCACAGGAATAACAGGATTAGAAAGTCATAGTTTTGACCTCAACATGCATAACTTAGGGCAGACACACAGTACAAAATAAGTATTTATTGGGAATGTTGGAGTATGAGCCAATATGTTGTATTAACAATGTGTTTTGACAATATTCACAAAGCTGTTATTATTTCTAAGTATTGGGATAGGATAAAACTGATTAATAGTCCCTGAGGAGGAGGACATGAATAATAATTTAAAGATAGTGGAATAAGGTCAATCCTTTCCTTGTATTTACCCAGACCAGAAACTTTAAGAACATATTTACTTTTACATGTGACTAAATTTCTACAATGATATTTGGCATTGAAGTATACGTTTACATTTTTTCTTATTTTATTTTTTATTTTTCTGGCTATCAAACCTATCCTGAATGTTATCCCTAGCTAATTAATATATTTAAAGAATTTATGTACTCAGAAAAATCCTTAACATTTCTATGAATTTTGATTTCTTATTTATAAGATGAAAACAGGTACATCTTCATAACATAGTTTTGAAGATAAAATAATACAATTCAGATCTTAGCTTAGTGTCTGCCACATAAAAATCCCAGTAAAGCTTAGTCACTCTGTTAAAATACTAGAGGCCTGGTGCATGAATTTGTGCAAGAGTGGGGGGTTACTTGGCCTGGCTGGGGATCAGGCAATCGGGGCCAATAGGGGCCGATCAGGGCCGTCTAGCCCAGTCCCAATCAGGGCTTATCAGGGCTGACCGGAGCTGGTCTGCCAGGGAGAGGGACTGTGGGAGGTTGGCTGTGGGAATGCACTGACCACTAGGGGGAAGCTCCTGCATTAAGCGTCTGCCCCTGGTGGTCAGTGCACGTCATAGTGACCGGTCGACCGGTTGTTTGGTCAACCAGTATATTTGGTCGACCAGTCGTAACAGTCACTTAGGCTTTCTATAGAGAGATTATAATATTACGAAAGAATTTAGCAAATATATATATATAATGTAAGTGCCAAAGATGTGTGTTCAATGTAAGGGAAAATTAATATATATTTATTTTATTTTATTTTTAAACTCTATTGTTGAAAGTATTACATAGGTCTTCCTTATACCCCATTAACCTCTTCCTCCATGCTTTCCACTCAGGCCCTCACCACCCATTGTCTGTGTCCACAGGTTATGCATATATGCATACAAGTTCATTGGTTGATCTCTTCCCACCTACCCTCCCCAGCCTTCCCTTCTATGTCTCTGGGTCTATTTTTGATCATCAGTTTATTTGGTTCATTAGATTCCACATATGAGTGAGATCATGTGATACTTACCTTTCTCTGACTGGCTTATATGTTTATTTTGAAAGTTTTTTTAAGACAAGTAGTATAAGACATTTAAAAATATTTTTTCTCTCATAATTAGTATTTTTCTGTCTTTTTCTACTTTCTATGTAAACCAAAATGTATTATAAACTTTTACTTGATTTAATATTTACTTAAGTTTATTTATACTATCATGATCTGTTATTACAATAAAACCACTAGCTTAATTTATTATGCATAATCTATGTAATTTATATTATACCTAAATGTCTATTTATTTTATACTTGAATATATTTAACATAAAGAAGTATTTATTGCCAAAAATTATTTTTTATAAAATTAAAATGCTTCATTATTTCTACAAAAACGAATCCTTTACCAACCTATGTATTTCCCCATAGTATAAAAATCCTTTCTTAGTTTACCTTTATAACAAATTTAAGAACATAACACTTTTGCTTTAGTTTTACAAGTTTTAAACTTAAAATTAATGTGGAAATAATCTGGTTGATTAAGTCTTAACACATTTAATTATTTTATAAAACTATTACTACTTGTTAACTTTAATAATATATTTTTAAATGAGCCATCTCTATACTTTGTCAAAATTTTCAAAATTCTAAATTTATACAATTTTATAAATTACTACCATTTTATGTTTTAAAATGTATATTTTTCATAGTATGAAAATTATATTCTGAAAGCATATTCTTAAGTAAGTGCTCTTGAATTAATAAGAAAATTAATAAGAAATCAAACAACTAATATTTTAGCTCCTAATTACTAGGACCTATGAGAAAATTCAGAATGGTGACTGTACCTTGTGTCGCAGTCTTATCAGAGGTTGATAAGACTTAAGGCCATATCCTACTTCTTTGCTTGGCCTTCCTTCTGACTCCAAAAAAATGAATCCAAGAAACAAAACAGCTGACCAGTACTTAAACATCCTTTTTGCTTTTCACCTGTAAAAATTAACATTGCAAGCAATCAGAACATGCATTATATATTGAACAAACGTATTAAAAGGTATTAAATAGTGCAAAGAAATCTCCACCGACCAAGTAAAAAATTATCAGCAATTGCCAACTGAATCCATAATAGATAAGCATCTCCAAATATAAATTAATATCCCCTTACCATAACAAATACAGTTTGTTTGTTTTTTCATTCATATAGCCCTTACAACATTTATTAAGTAGAATATAGGGGCCAATAAAAATGCATTGAGGAGAAAATTGATAAAAGCAGGTTGAAAAAACTGAAAAAGAAAACAGTGAACCATGCATAAATTTCTAAGCATCCATACAGAATACAATTATCAACATATTTATAAATCTTGAATTCCTCTTTGAGTTCGTTTGGTGAATAATGCTTAATAAAACTATAGTTATTATAATTCACTGGTAAAGACTGGTAAGAGATTAAGAAGACAGTCTATTATAGTAGTACTTAATAAACTGAGGTACTACAGAAACTATGCAAATGGGTTATATTAAGTTATGAATACATTTTTCCAATAGTATTAAAAAGGGCATTTAAGTAAAACAAAATAAATTAAAAAGTAAAAAATACAAAGAAATCTCCTAGAAAATTATTTTATAAGTGCTTTCAACAAAAATTCCTATGACTCTTTTCAATGTTCTATGTTTTCAGATATACTAGAATATTGTAAAATGGCATTTATTATTATATAAACACTAAGCCCTTTTACAAACAGTTCAATTAAATTTCACTTCACCACTTTCACCAACACATCTTTGTATGTATTGTGGCAATAGAAGAGCTCTTTCTCCTCTTCAGTGAATCTGTACATTTGATTTCTTGAGCAACTTAACCAATTGACTAAGCCTGTTAGTAAAGAGTTGTATATTTCAGTCTGACTATGGTCTGACCATGGTCTACTTCAGTCATGTTTCTATGTCACTACCAAAGTAACAGTTCATTTTTCAAGAAATGGTCATTTTACTTGATGTCTATGACACTCCTCTCTTCTATTTCTATAGATTTTATGACAATTCTTCAGTTCTTTTTGTGAGTTAATCTTACTCCTTTACTTTGTTATTAAATACTATCATTTATCAAATCTCATTGCTAGCCATTTATCTTACTCCATTCACTCAGCCTAGGCGTTTTCAACATAGTCTATAGATTCAAATACATGTACTGCTTCCCACGAACCCAATCTCCTGATTGGTATAGTTAGCCTCCTTCACAGCTCCATCTTTATGTTTCAAAAGCATCTCCTCATAGCATACATACCCACATGTGAAGTCATGCTTTCCCAGATTTTCATTCATCCATTTACTCAAACAGAAACAAAGAGGACATCTTTGACATCTCTGGTTCCCTTACCTTCATACTAAACACACCAGTAAGTTCTGTTATTTCTACCTTCAGAAAATATCTCTCACATACCAGTTTCTCGCCAAGTCTACAGTCACAACCCTAGCGCATGCTATCAGCACCACTTCTTCCTAATCTGCCCCAATCACTTCCCTGCTGTCCTTCCACATTTATGTACATGAATCTTCAAGCCATTCTCCACACAACAGTCCCAGTGATTACAAAAAATCCAACAATTACGTTATTGCCCTTGTCAGTAATTTTAAAATATACTAATTTACCTTTTAGGTAAAAACAAAATTACTAACATAGCCTTCAAATTCTCACAAGTCCAGGCTCAGCATGTCTTTCTCTTTCTCTAAATAACTGCTTTTCTGACACACTAATCTTCACTCAGTTCTTTGAACTTATTTGTTCAATTCCTACTATTGGCTTTTGTATGCTATTTCTTCCACATGAAATTCAATCTTTTCTTTCCCAATTATTATACAAATGCCTTCACACATCAAACAAATCCTTCAAAGATCCTATCCATAATACTAAGCCTGAGTTAAAGTTACTAGACACTCACAATCATAAGTCGGTTTTCCTTTACTTCAGAACATCTGTTTATAATTATACAATATTAATATGATTACTTGAATGTTGGCCTGCTTCACTAGACTATAGATTTATCTGTTTTCTTCTTTAAACTTCATAAATTCAGGGATATGGGGTGATATTTTCAGCATTATATCATGTGGGTCTAGCAAATCACCTGACCCTTATTAGACATCCTATCTAATAAAAGAGTAATATGCAAATTGACCATCACTCCAACACACATGATGGTCGCCCCCATGTGGACACAAGATGGCCAGCAGGGGAAGGCAGTTGGGAGGGACCACGCCTGCAAGGGAGGGCAGTTAGGGGCAATCAGGCCGGCAGAGGGGAAGTTAGGTGTCAATCAGGCTGGCAAGGGAGTGGTTAGGGGCAATCAGGCAGGCGGGCAGGCGAGTGGTTGGGAGCCAGCAGTTCTGGACTGGCAGTTGGACATCCCTCAAGGAGTCCCAGATTGGAGAGGGTACAGGCTGGGCTGAGGGACAACCTCTCCCCGCCCCCCTGAGCATGAATTTCGTGCACCGGGCCTCTAGTTCTATAAATAAATGCATAAATGAATGAATGTCATCCTGCATTCAAGGGTAAAAGAAGGATCCTGTTTTCTTGCATTCTGTCAATGCTGAATGGAATCCCTATTTTCACTACTGCTACAAAACTAACCTGAGAAAAACAAATATTTTCATTTGTATTCCATCACTTTGCTGTCATTTTTATGTACAGTCTAATCACTTGTTCAGATGTAAATATGAGCTTTTAAGACCAATCAATGGAATATTTTAAATCCAAGGTAGAGTCCAAGAATAAAGCAAATGGAACCTGCTCAGTAAAGGTATATATTTCTCAGATATTTGAATATTATGCTCCTTTTGTGCTCAACCAGGAGAGGTGGGAAAGAAGCATGACAACAACTCTGATCCTTCATAACTCTGGGTAAAGGTGTTGTCATACATTTCTTAAAAGTGCTCATATTGCTCATATAAGGGTTTCTTTTCCTCTTTTCTCTTTTTCCTTCCTTCTCTCCCTCTCTCTCTTCCTCTCCTTCTTTTCTACACACACACATACACGCACACACTTATGTATATAACTTTGGGACACCCTGTATTTGTATACACATATATGGCTACAATTTTTTCATCTACTATAAAATATAAAGCAAGTTAACAATTAATTTTAAAAAATGGCCAAAAATCTCATAAACCTTGTGTGATTCCACTTCAACTAACTACTGAAATATCTTCTCTGCTAAAGGCAATAGGCTAGGAATATCTGCTTTTAAGAAATTTTACAAAGAGTTCATAAAAACAGCTCAGTGTGCTGATGCAGAACATGCGACCTCCTTGTACTATTTTAAGTAACTTCTCTTATATTGTTAACAATGATTAATTTCTTCATTGATAGTGTTATGAATTTCAAGTCTAAATTTTCTTAATAATAAAAAGCACAAAAATAAAGATATAATATAAATAATTTATTTCAGCAAAAGCTTTCAAACAACTGAAGTAATTTACTTGGTATCACAACTAAAGTGAAAGGGAACTAATATTAAAAGTCAAATAACTTTTTTTAAAGGGAACTCTGATTTCTATTGCAGATAGGCATTTGAGCTCAGCAGTGCAGTGTTAGACAAGACAAAGGACAAAGAATAGTTTCTGTGTTCATCTTATGCAAACAGCTACCTTGTAATAGTGTCTCAATGGAAATATTACCAAGAAAAATAATTGAATCCAATTATATAGTTATAAAATAACAACCTAAACAAAAAGATAGCTCTTCTTTATAGAAGCTCAGAAACTAATTGTCATCTTCTGAGTTTTCTTCAGCTACACGTTCCAAAGATGTCATTATTATGTCTTTAAAAGTTTACTCATCCACAGAAGGTGTTCTGGAAATTGTTTCTAAATCAGCAGTAATCAGTCCCATGATATACTGCCTGGTGAGCTCACTTTCTCAGTATAGTAACCTCTGACAACCTGTTAGGTTTTCATAATTAATTGGCAGATTGTTGTCAGCTCAGTAAGAACACAGAAAGCACTTGACTGAAACAAACCGGCTAGAACAGATGGTACAATAATGATCCTATGACTTTTCCTTGTAACCTCAACATTTATATGGAAGCATCAAAAAACAGCCTTATTATTAACTTTGAGAAAACAAAATGCACATGTACCTAAAGAAGTATCTGCCTAACATTAGATTTAACAAATTTAGACTTATAGATGTTAAAGGAGATGGACAGAGGTTTCGCTTCTTAAAAATGTATGTAGTTCCCTGAGTCAAACTTTTATCATACAGTGTGCTGCTTATGGCAGTAGGATTTAGAATAAGGTAATTATGTTATTTAGTAGATTCAAATTTGAGACATTTTTATTTATTTACACATTCTCTAGAATCTTACTTTTAATCACACGAGAAAACAAACTGAGATAGTGAAAGTATTGCCTTAGGAACAAAATGTAGCATTTGAGATGGGGAAAGATGCTGTGGATTTGTGCCTTTGATTAGAAAGAATGTCAAGATGAAGCAAATCCCTCACATTATCAACATTATTACATGTTGCAGAGAAACCAAGTATCCCGAGGGTTTCATCTGGAGTATCCTCACTGCCTCTCACTCTACCCTGAAAAACTACCACAAGCTTTCAAGAGAAGAGAAGAGGTCCAAAGACTAAGCCGTTGGGCAGCTTCAGTTGAAATAGAAGAAGAGTACATGCAGCTAGGAAGTAGAAAAAATAAAAACAGTAAAATGGTCAATCTGAAAAACAGAATGATAGAAATTTTCTTTGGGATGGGATGACTGAAGCCACTGCTCTTGTCATCACTTGACCTACTATATTTTTACCAGTTTGTTTGCTGTTCTCTGCATCCATCCAGAATGTTAACTCCATAAAACAAGACTCTGTTAATCACTTGTGTCAGTTAGAGCAGTACCTAGCACACAGCATGAGGTCAATAAATATTTTTGATAATAGATGAATGAATAAATTAATGATGATAAGTAATTAATTTGAAATAGCAGGTAT